TGATGATGTCACAGCCATTGATGGCCGTGCAGGCAGGGGCGCCAATCGCGCCTTCCGCCTGGGGCGCCAGCTGCCGCAGCCGGCCTCGGGCTGCTCCTGCATGCTCTAATAATAAGAATATAGCAGGAGAGGTATATTACTGATCACCTGACCAGGATAGTGACTGTGAAATGCAAAGGGAGATTAGAGAGGCTATAAAAATTACAAAAAACTCAGTAATAGTGGGGCACTTCAGCTATCCCCATATTAACTGGGTACGTGTCACCTCAGACGAGAAGCAAAGAAAGTTTCTTGATACCTTAAATGACTGCTTTTTGGAGCAGTTGATTCTGGAACCCACAAGAGGAGAGGCAATTCTTGATTTAGTCCTAAGTGGAGCACAGGTTTTGGTCCAAGAGGTAAATTTAACTGGACAGCTTGTAAATCGTGACCATAATGTAATAAAATTTAACATCCCTGAGGTGGGAAAAAACGCCTCAGCAGCTCCACACTGTGGCATTTCATTTCAGAAAGGGGAGCTACTCAAAAATGAGGAGGTTAAACAGAAATTAAAAGGTACAGTAACAAAAGTTAGATCTCTGCAAGCTGCATAGAGACTTTTCAAAACGCATCATAATAGAGACCCCAAATTAAAAACAACTAGGCTGTGTCTACACGAAAATAGAAAGGAGCATAAACTCTGTCAAATTAAGTGTAAAAATATAAAAAGAAAAGCCAAAAAGGAGTTTGAAGAACAGCTAGCCAAGAATTAGAAAAGTAATTGTAATGCAAATTCAAAAAAATTCAAAATGTTTAAGTACATCAGAAATAGAAAGCCTGCTAAACAACTAGGCTGTGTCTACACTGGCGCAATCTTGCACGAAAGCGGCCGCTCTTGCGCAAAAACCTGCTGCCCCAGTAACAAAAGTTAGATCTCTGCAAGCTGCATAGAGACTTTTCAAAACGCATCATAATAGAGACCCCAAATTAAAAACAACTAGGCTGTGTCTACACTGGCGCGATCTTGCACGAAAGCAGCCGCTCTTGCGCAAAAACTTGCTGCCTGTCTACGTTAGCCGCGTGTTCTTGTGCAAGTAAACTGACGTTCTAATGTATGAAATCAGGGCTTCTTGCGTGAGAACTCTGACGCTCCTGCTCAGGAATAAGCCCTTTTGCGCAACTGTTCTTGTGCAAGAGGCCAGTGTAGACAGGCAACGTGACTTTCATGCGCAAGAAAGCCCTATGGTTAAAATGGCCATCAGAGCTTTCTTGCGCAAGAGAGCATCTACACTGGCAAGGATGCTCTTGCGCAAAAGCACATCTCTTGCGCAAAAGCACACGCCAGTGTAGATGCTCTCTTCTGGAACAGTTTTTGAAGAAGAACTCTTCCGCAAAAAAGTTTTTGCGTGAGAACATGCCAGTGTAGACATAGCCCTAGTGGGGCCACTGGATGATCAGGATGCTAAAGGAGTACTCAAAGACGATAAGTTACTTGTGGAAAAACTAAATTAATTCTTTGCTTTGGTCTTCACAGTTGAGGATGTTTAGGGAGATTCCCAAACCTAAGCCATTCTTTTTAGGTGACAAATCTGAGAAAATGTCCCAGATTGAGGTGTCAGAGGAGGTTTTGGAACAAATTGATAAACTTAACAGTAACAAGTCATCAGGAGCAGATGGCATTCACCAAGCGTTCTGAAAACTCAAATGTGAAATGACGGAACTATTAACTGTGGTTTGTAACCTATCCTTTAAATCAGCTTCTGTACCTAATGACTGGAAGATAGCTAATGTGACACCAATATTTAAAAGAGCTTTAGAGGTGATCCTGGCAATTACAGACCAATAAGTCTAACATCAGTACCAGGCAAATTAGCTGAAACTATAGTTAAGAATAGAATTGTCAGACACACAGATAAACATCATTTATTGGGGAAAAGTCAGACATGGTTTCTGTAAAGGGAAATCATCAACTAGTGTCCTTTGAGGGGGGTCAACAACTATATGGACAAGGGGGAAACCAGTGAATATAGTGTACTTAGATTTCCAGAAAGACTTTGACAACATCTTCACCAAAGGCTCTTAAGTAAAGTTTGTTGTCATGGGATGAGAGAGAAGGTCCTGTCATGGATTGGTAACTGGTTTAAGGACAGGAAACAAAGGGTAGGAATAAATGGTCAGTTTTCAGATTGGATAGAGGTAACTAGTGTCCCCCAAGGGTCCATCCTGGGACAGATCCTATTTAACCTATTTATAAATGATCTGGAGAAAGGAGTAAGCAGTGAAGTGGCAAAATTTGGTGATGATACTAAACTGCTCAGGATAGTTAAGACCAAAGCAGACAGTGAAGAGTTTTAAAAGGATCTCACCAAACTAAGTGATTTGGCAACAAAATGGCAAATGAATTTTAATGTTGATAAATGCAAAGTAATGTATGTTGGAAAAAATAATCCCAACTCTACAAATGAGAGGGACTAATTTAGCTATAGCCACTCAAGAGAGATCTTGGAGTCAGCATAGACAGTTTTCTGAAAACATTCACTGAAGCTTTGTCTAAACTACATTCCTCTTTCGAAAGAGGAATGTAAATGAGGCCAATCAAAAACTCAAATGAAGCACGGATTTCAAATCTCGTGCTTCATTTGCATAATCATGTGAGTGCTTTTTTGAAGTTTTTTTTCGAAAAAGAAATCGCAGTCTAGAGGGGTTCTTTCGAAAAAACCCTTTTTTGAAAGAACCCATACACCTCATTTTTTCAGGAGTACGGGTTCTTTTGAGAGAGGATTTTTTTGACTAGACTAGACTGCAGTTTCTTTTTTGAAAAACTCTTTTTTGAAAAAACACTCTAATGCAATTATGCAAATGAAGCACAAGATTTGTACATCTGCACTTTATTTGAAGTTTTGATCGGCCTCATTTACATTGCTCTTTCAAAAGAGGAATGTAGTTTAGAAATGCCCTCAATGTGCAGTGGCAGTCAAAAAAGCAAACAGAATGTTAGGAATCATTTAAAAAAGGATAGAGAATAAGCATAGAGAAAGTGAATAAGGAAAAGTTGTTTTACTTATTCCCACAATATAAGAACTAGGGGTCACCAAATGAAATTAATAGGTAGCAGGTTTAAGAAACAAAAGGCAGTTTTTCTTCCCTCAGCGCAGTCAACCTGTGGAACTCCTTGATGGAGGATGTTGTGAAGACCAGGACTTTAACAGGGAACAATAAAGACCTAGGTAAATTCATGGAGGTTAGGTCCATTAATAGTTATTAGCCAACATGGGTAGGAATGGTGTCCCTACCCTTTGTTTCTCAGGGGCTGGAAATGGATGACAGGAGAGGGATCATTTGATGGTTACCTGTTTCTGTTCACAACATTCATCTCAGCAGCAGCCGACCAGAAGTAGCGTGCGCGGGGTGTGTTTGTGGGGCCTATTGAAGCGCAGGGCCCGGGGCAGCCGCCCCGCTCGCCCTGCCCTATATCCGCCACTGGGTAGGAGGTCACCATGGTGTCAGGACTATGCCATTTAATGTAATCGTGCAGTCAAAGCTTGTCTCATGCACATGTAGGGGGGGAATTACACAGGGAACCTTCATACTGGCATATCTTAACCTCTGAGGGTATGTCTAGACTACATGGCTCCATCGATGGATTTAAATAATCCCCGCTTCATTAAAATAAAAATGGCCACCGTGCTGTGCTGACAATCAGCTGATCCGGCATAGCGCGGTAGTCTAGACGCGGAATGGTCAACAACGGAAGCCTTTGTCGACTGCTCCTGTAAACCTTGTCGACCGATCCGCATCTAGACTGCCACGCTGTGCCGGATCAGCTGATTGTCAGCACAGCACGGTGGCCATTTTTATTTTAATGAAGCGGGGATTATTTAAATCCATCGATGGAGCCATGTAGTCTAGACATACCCTCAGAGGTTAAGATATGCCAGTATGAAGGTTGCCTGTGTAATTCCCCCCCTACATGTGCATGAGACAAGCTTTGACTGCACGATCACATTAAATGGCATAGTCCTGACATCATGGTGACCTCCTACCCAGTGGCGGATATAGGGCAGGGCGAGCGGGGCGGCTGCCCCGGGCCCTGCGCTTCAATAGGCCCCACAAACACACCCCGCGCACGCTACTTCCGGTCGGCTGCTGCTGAGATGCTGCTGAGGTGCATGCGCAAAATTGTGCCTCCCCGGGCTCCGCAGCGCAGCCCTGGGCCCCGCAAAATTATCATCCGCCCCTGCTCCTACCAAATTCAAGGCCCCTGCTCCAAAGCATCGAGGCACACTAAAACGGTTGTAAGAATTTTTTGAACTGGCCAAAAATAGAGCGTTTTATGCATCTCATTCTCAGCGCAGCTGGACGGTTCTTGCTGAAATTTTGCCCAGTCCATATCAGCCCAAATGCTTAAATATTTGGCAAAGTGATAAGCAATTAGAAACAGGGTCCTTTAATGAGAAGTGTTACTAACAGGTAAGGTTACCTAATGCAGTGGTCCCCAACACGGTGCCCGCGGGTGCCATGGCGCCCACCGGGGCATTTGTGTGCGCCCGCTGAGAACCTGGGCTGGCCCCGCCCCCGGCGCACTGGAGGCACCGGCCCCAGGCGCGCGACACGCACCGGTGCCTGGTGCGCGGCGCTCGGGCGGCCCCAGCCCCTGGGCACATGCAGGCGCGTGGTGTCGGTGCCAGCCCCAGGCGCGCGGCTCGGG